TAGGGTCAAGGACACCCTCAGAGCAATCACCCTAAAGTGAGAGTAGGCCCTCGTGAGTCAAGAAATCTACTGCCTTCTTAGGTCCCAGATGAGCTTGAAGCAGAGGAGAGTTGGATAAAATGTATGAGACAACTGCATAGGGCAGCAACCCCACAACAAAGAATTATCTTGTCCAAAAATGTCAATAGTGCTGAGATTGAGAAACCCTAATCTAGAGAAACTGCTACAATTTTTTGTCATCAAAGTATGAGTTTCTTGAGTTCAGAACCCAACTCATTGAACTATTGGTATTCAATAATTAGCAGAGCATTTTGTGAATAGATTAATAAATCCAATGTAATCCAGTTCTCTTTTGAAGAGTAGCCATTTCCATTTCCTCAGTTCCTTCCCTGAAATTATCTGAAAAGGAAATGTCGCTCAGTTACAGGTCTCCAGCTTGCCAGGTAATAGGAAGAAAGTGCTTCACAATATGTTTCCAGAAATAAGAAGAGGACAGAGTGTGCTCAGAAACAGAGGGACAGGCAAATGAAGGCTGCTGACAGACAAACCTACAGAGACTGATAAATATCATGATAGCTGGACAAACAAGGAATCCCTGTATCCATGTGATAGCCTTTCGCCATGAAGGAATAGGGGTAAACAGCAAGGGTAAAGTAGCTTATATTTTATTTGAAATAAACTAGATGAATGATCATATCTTAAATGATATGCCTTCAAGCATGTGCTACATCAAGGTCTTGACAGCATCATTTTCCCAAGAGATGCACAAGTAAATTTAAGTAGTTTCCAAGTTGTAAGTATCTTGATTACCAAGGAGCAGCAGGATGCAGAGCCTGACCAGTAAAATCAAAGGATTGATGGCTTCCTCTTCACACTTCTGCCTTTATTTTCCCCTGCATGGCTCATTATTCTGCTGCATTAATTTAAGCTTTCCTATTGCACTGAATTAGGGGCTTAAATTCTCTTATCATCCCTGTGGGAATCTTGATTGTTTATTTGTGGATGAGAATAATTGTTTTTATTGATCCCCAAATGTGGAGGGTAAAAAAAAGTGCTATGGTTGATGGCCAGCTGATACATAGTTAGTGCTGCGTGCATTAGTGACAAATTATGAGACAGTATTTGGCCCCGGAGGAGACCCTTTAGGAATTTTTAAGGCATTTGATAGTTATCAGTTTAAGGAATTGGATGGTTATCAGTAAGTCTTTCCAAGCTGGAAATCATAAACAGTTTCACATACTTCAGGTGAAGTCCTTTTGTTGCAGTTTTTATTGAAACTTAAAGATCTAGTTGGGTATAATTTATACTTTCTCATTTCTAGTATGCCCACACACCAACCCAGGAGAGTTTGGAAATGGTGCAGCTACAAGATGTGCCAGAACCAGTGCCATCAGGCCAGTGAGTTCCTCTAGGGGCCCAGATTACTAGGCATTTATTTGGAAGAATTCCTGTATTTGTCCAGCAGTTGTCGTGATTCCACTGCAAGCATCATTGTATGGGCGTTAGCTCCAAATAGTTTGAGGAAAAAACTACTTTGCTAGCCCCACCTTCTACTGTGGGTAGGAAACCCCATGCCATTTCACATCCAAAATATATCAGAGGCATCAGGGAAAGGAAGTGCAACTGTCTAATTAAGTGCTGTTTGTAGGACAGGGCACTTGGGCAGTATGAACCTCCCTCATCTGAATCAAATGCAACACATCTTGTTTAAAGAGCTATTGAGCTAATTAGCGTGGCCTGTCTACACAGAAATAAAACAAATCAGGTTAGGCCCAAAAGGAATCAAGTATCAGAAATGTGGTGAAGTTTCCTTATTAGGTGGTAAGATGCAGACATCTTTGACCAGATGTTGGACCCTGAAATTCTTGATCCTCTTTTCCTGTGGTAAAGAGAACACAGTTATATAGAGAAGCCACTACGACAATAGTTTCTTCTTTATTCTTTGAGGGTTCTGTTCTGGAAGCTTACTGATGAACCTTCAGAAATGACTGTGTGGGCTGGACCAGAATGAGTCAGGAGAGCTTGTTTTGCAGAATAAGTGTCCATATGTTGCAAAGAGGATCTTTCTCTTTTTCCTGGAGATATCATATTATCTTTGTCTTTGATAATTAGCACCTCTGTGAAGGGACCACATCAAAGGGAGGATGATTTTCCCAATTGTGATTATCTTTTCTCACTCAAATTCACCTTTACCCTTAGCACTATGGTTCATTTGTGGCCTTGGCCTTCACAAGCCATTGCAACAGCTTCCATGAGTGGCAGTGTAGAGGAGGGAATCATGGAGTTCTCCCCACAAAAGTTTTGTGACCATTGTCACTCCCATTGCCAGATAAAACTTTATACCCAGTTTGTCCTTTTATATATATCCCATACATTTAGTGTCATGTCCATCACACAAGGGAGCATCAAATGTGATCTGACCGATTCGCATGTTTGCTCATTCACATGTTTCCAACGCCCAGTATGCATGGAGCATGATACTGTACAGTGCTTAAAACTTAACTGCAGACTGACTATTGAAGGTGATGCTCCTGTACAGAATCATTTTATTTTTAAATTAGAAGAAACCTTGACTATGACTTAGTTCAACTGTCTTATTTTAGACACAAGGAAAATGAGACCCAGAGAGGCTAAATAAGTGGCCACAGCCTCATGTTCGAGTAGTGGCAGAGCTGCAGTGTGAAACCAGATATTCTCACTCCAATTCTGACTGCACTCCGTGTTGACTCTGAAACACGTGGCTGTGCTTTGTTGCACTGTAGTGTGATCAATTGTTTTAACGTGTGTGCCTCCCTGACTAGACCAGGTACTCTTCAGAAAATATTCATCACCAGGCTCCCAGCACAGTCAGTGGCACATAATAGGATCCCAATATATGTTTGTTGAAAAAGTGAATAGGTGGATAAATACATGAGACTTGTTTTTTTTCTCATCATGTAGAAACAAACAAATGCCATAATTTTTAGTGATCTTTATGAGTGCTGGTCAGCCTAATAATGAAGAACAGACAAGATAGGGAATTAAAGGTAGAACAAATAGTATGAGAAAGAAGAGAAAAAAAAAAAGACTACACAATTCCATAGGAATAATAACTAGACAAATTCAGTATGTAGACAAAATGTTTGGATTCGATTTGGGAGCATTTTGTCAAGAATCCTGCCTCTTCTGATCTCTCCCCATTTTCAGATAAGGGCTTTTTAAGCAGATGATGCTTTAAGCAATTCCCATCAATGCTGCTCCTCCTTAGACCCCAGAATGCAGGATTGATGGCAGGTTAAGTTGTCTAAAAAGCAAAGTTGATCGTTAGTGTATGTCGCCTCCCTAAGACATCTTCCCACTCATTTTGCATCTATTGCTGTCCCATGTTGTTGCTACTACCACAGAGGAAAGTGCATGTAACTCGATGTGATCCAGTTTCTGGAATATTTTCCATACACCAGAAGATGCAAAGGAATGGCTACTTAGGTAGTAACATTTCAGACTCGGTGACAAGTATGCAGAGAGGATGTGTATGGGCTGAATTTGTCTCTCCCTGTAAATCACCCAAAGTCAATGAAAGTAAAAAGCTAAAAAATCTGATCATCAACCCCCACTGTGAGTTTATGTTTTTCCTGAAATAATGGCACATTGTAAGTAATTTGACACTAAGCAGTGCCTGTTAAAAAGCAGCAGCGGCAGCAAAGGATTCAAGGCTATAATTATAGCACAGTGATGGCTTGGTACTGGGATGTGCATCAACAATATTGAGCATCAGTGGGAGCAACAACTGGCTGGAGGGCTGTATCCAGAGAGCGGTTATCAGTATCTAAGTGTCAGTTTGTAGAACTGGCTCCTGTAGGCCAAGAAGTCTAGAAGGAAGGTAGACCATTTAATCTTTTCTAGAGGTGTTGCTACGCAGCTGTCAAACAAATTGGGGTGGTTCAAATGCCCCTATGGAGAGAGTTTTAAGGAGATGGGCAGTTACCTCCTTTGAATGGATCAAGTCACATTGGCTAAAGAAATATGGAGATCCAGCTTTTTGTTGAACATTGCCTTGAACCATGTTGAACTTGGTAGATGCCAAATCAGCACTGCATCTAAGCTTATCACCACCCTCTCCAGCAGTTCCTTCATGTCCCAACTCTTCTTTGAACATACCAAGCATACTTCCATATCTGTAATTTTGTCCTTGCCCTGCTTTCTTCCTTACATACCTTTTTCTCACGTGGTCCACATGGCTTCTTCCTCCTTGACCCTCCCCTCTGTCTTTTTCAGATCTTTGTGCTCATGATCAAAGGAGCCTTTCTTGGCCAACCTTTATAACATAGCTGCCTCCAAATCCAATCCACCAGCCTTCACAAAGACAGAAGCTTTGGTTGTTCTGATCATTGCTGTATCCCCAGTCTCCAGAACAGTGATTAGCATATAGCTTGTTCAATAGATGTGTATTGCAGAAGTTGGTAACATAGGTCTTAAAAAGGAAAAGTCTTGTCTTATGATGCCTGGAAAGCAGTTAAAGAAATTTTTCAGATGCTTTCAAGTTATTTACCTACACTGCATGGAAGTTATACTTAGAAACCCAAGCAGCCTTCAAGAAAGTAATATTATGTACAGGTAAGCAAGATAGCACTATTATCATTCAGTTCCCATCTGGGCTCCAAGCAACTTTAAGAGAACCTTTCCTCTGATAGACAGCACTAATTTGTGTCTTATGGAAACTTAAATAAATTATTGTTCACCTGAAGGGAGCAGGATTATTTGACTTCAGATATTTGCCATATGGCTTCTCTTCCACACAACATAGCTTTGAGGCTTAAGGTAGTAAGAGCAAGAGAATTCCTATAAATTATTTAGCGATAATTCAAAATAAGTGTGCATCTTTGACATATTGTCAAGTTTCTCAATGCTTTTTCCTGATAACAAGTGCTATGTTTTTGATGAAATGTTGCTCATTTCTCACACACCTTATTGTTCTGTGTGTGTGTTCTGTGTTTTGTTTTGTTTGTTTTCATTCCTCTCAGAGTCCAGTCTGGCTCGTATCTCAGCACAGGGTGGTTTACCTTCATTCTGGCCATGGACGCCTGTTATGGCATTCACGTCTACGGGATGATAAATGACACCTACTGCAAGTAAGATCACAAGAAATTATTTGTATGCAACTCCAATTCTGAGATCTTGTCAAAATATCACAATTCATTTTAATACCATAAATCTGAGAAACAGATAAAGCAACAATTATTTCCCAGTGTTCTTTGCTGACATGACATTTTATTGTCAGTGTATCAAGTTGTGACTTCTCGGGGTGATAAAAAGAAAAATATTTACCAGTCTAATGTCAAATGTCAGAAGGAACACTTTTCCCTTAATCAGTGGCATAGCAGGGACTTGTGGCTTGAAAAAACAGAAGTTTAGTGGTTGCTTGATTTGCAAAAGCAATTTTGTCATTTCTGCTGCTCTGATGCTTGATGGATAGCTGTCTACTCAATGGTTAGTTAGATTTGATCATGAAGGACAAAATGTCCTAAAGCCTCAGAGAAACTGACAGCTTAACAAGAATACCTAGAAAGTATACTTCACTAATAAGTGAGTAATCTGCCAGATCCTTATTTAAATTGAGTATGTTTACCCACAATATATCCTCACTGGTGGGATAGTTTCTAATTAGATAATAAAACAAATCCTCCATGCTTCATCAGGATAATGAAATCTATTTCCCTACCAATGATTGGCACAATATAATTCACAGACTGTTTTAATCAGAATGTCAAAATGGTAACTCTCAGCCACAGTCTTCATGAACAAGTATTTCTTCCCTAACCATAAGCATAATGGTGCTCAGATGAACCCAATATCTTACTGTGAAAAATCAGTTTCTTCAGGTTCTGCAAGAGGCTATCTAAAGTTTCCTCCATTATATCTTATTTCCTGTTTCAAAGGATAGCCATATGTTTGAATGTAATTGGCATGATATATAAATTTTATTTGATCTATTAAAGCACTAAGAACCTGGTACATCTTCCTAAAAGCTTTCATAGATATAATAGCTTTTAACTGAGTTCATGGACAAGAATCATGTATGGGTTTGCAAGTAAATGCATTTACTGGGCACATAATGGATTCTTGTAAATGAGTGCTCCATTCTTCATCACAATCTTTCTCTCCTTTTCTTTTTTTTTTTTTCTTTTCTAGGACAGAAGGCTATAGAAAAGTCCCCTATCATTACTATGAACAAGGAAGAGATGAGTGTGATGAATATTTTCTTCATGAACATGCCCCATATGGGGGGCATAGGTTTATCACTGAAAAGAAAGTGTTTGCTAAATGGGCCAAGAAGCACAGGATAATATTTACACATCCAAACTGGACATTGTCTTGATAATGGTTTTCCTGATCTTGCCGCATCACTTAATGTGATCCCCATATTGCAAGTGTGATGCTGATGACGCTAATGAAGATGACGGTGATGATCAAGACAACAACAATGGTTATCAAGTTCCTGTACATCTCAGATGTGGATGGTGACTCTGCTAGTAATTTCAACTTGGCATTTCATGGAGGATGGTTGTGCTCATTATGTTCTTTCTGGAGGTTCAACACTATATACCGCACTTTATAATTTAACTGGAATTGAGACGAAGCCCAGTGACATGACAACTGTGACCTAAGAAATGGGAAGATTATTCTTCAAGATAGCTGCAGAGAATTGTTAAACAGTGAGTAACTTCCAGAAGCCAAAAGGGTTTGGCCTCATAAGGCAAGGTGACTGACTCAATGGCTTCTTGAATCTCAGCAGCTTCGCCATCTTGAAGAATGATTGATTGTCAAACACTGAACCAAGAACTGCTATCAAGGTGCAAGTATCTTACTAGTTAGCCTAAGGAGGGGAAAATATCTCTACGGAATAAACCATCTTTCTGCAGTATTTCCTATAGCTAAAGCCTCAGGCCACTGCCTAACTAACAACAAAGATTTCATGGACATCCTGCACTTCAGGATTACTTGACTATCTCAAACACGTAAATGAAAATGGGCCAAGTAGCAAATCTTGATGACTTTCCACTCTTACCATCAATTCTTACTACCTACAATATAAGTGAACATGTGATTAGAATGATCTATATTAATGTTTAGTTATTTTTGGTTGAGTCCTAAATATTTTAGAAGGCTACTTAACATGTAAGATACCAACTTCAACACTGTAATAACATATACTGTGAAAACATTCCTGAAACATAACCAAAGGGTTTACTAACTCTGCTTCAACATCCAACAACACAAAAACGTATGATTTTTAACATCATGAAACAGGGAAAGCAAAGCATATTTTTACATCAATTTGTATCCTATCATACTTCATAATATATATTTGTATATTCAAATTTCTATTTTGTAGGCCCAAGATGTGTTTCTCCAAACATTACATTCTCATTGCCAAGTGCCAACTGTTAGATGTGGAGAGGAAATGATTCCTTGCATTAAACCTGACCAGAGCTTTTGCCTTCTAGGGATTTATTTTCCCCATAGTGTATCTGTTGTTATGTCACAATAACAACAATAATAATGACCTTAATGTCCAAAGTGCTTTCCATTTAGAGTCCTTTAACATGTGTTATACCACGTGACGCCCGTGAACACCCCATTGGACTATTGTCTGTGTATTCTGCTATCTCTTTAGCAGATGATCTGTAATTTGGTCATTGTTCTGTTATACTCCAGATTGCTCCACTTGCTAATATTTGTATAGAATAGAATTTATGTAAATTAGTAACCAGTTGATTTCTGTGCCAAATACGTTATATCAGGATTGCCCAAAAAGTATCACAAAGGATGATCTTGGCCATATGCTAGGACCCCTGTGAAAATAACTAGTTTTGAGAAGTTTTTCTACATATGTGTGTGTGTGTGTGTGTGTGTGTGTGTGTGTGTGTGTGTGTGTGTGTATGGTTCTATTTAGGTGGGGAAAAGATGAAAAAGCAAGGACAACAGGAGGAAACAAAGGCAAAGAATATAGTTTCCTGTCGTAGGCTTGAGACAACTCTATTTTTCATGTACTCATTGCTCATTAAATATTAGAAGGTGATTTGCTGAGAGAGTAGCTGAGAGTTCAAAAACATCCTTGCAGAATGATTCAAAAGACAAAAGCCAGGTTCAACTGACAGAATGTTTTGAAGGCTGGAGGTAATGACACATTTCACTTCAGAAGCACTTGTAGGTCTTTACTAGTGCTAAATATCATGGTGAGTTATCATTAAAATGTGCCATCTTCGATAAAGGCCTTATTCCTCCTCTCTTCTGCCATTTCAATACCTCAGTATTCACACCCATAAAAATTACCAAGCCCCAGTTCTATCGTTGGAAAGAGTTGCTATTCTTTTGTTGTTCCCTTATGTAATTTTTAGTCTATGAATGGTAAGTTTTTATAGCTAATGATAGATAGAAATGCCCACTCAAAGAAAAATAGAGACAAATGTTAAAATTGCCAAACAGGCTGTTTTCCCCCCTGTTGTTTCACTGTTGAATAAAAAGAAATCCTTGATTAATCAGAATGCCTTGGGACATGAACCTGATTTATTTAGTTTTCTAATAAATGAAGGGCCAACTCTATTTGTTTTAGCCCCTACTGATGAGAAACATTTGAAAACTTGCTTGCTCTCCTGCCTGGCTGTAGCTTTCTCTGTTTGCAATACACTGTATCCCTCACTCTATGGCAGAAGGTAAGTGTGGAATAAGTAGACTCCAGTGTTTTCTTTGGCGGTGTGAGGAAGGGTTTTTTTTCCCCTCTCCTCTCCTCTTTCTTTCTTTTATTTTTTCAACTAAACTCCTACTCTACATTTTTTATGGTTGTTTTCATTTTCTTTCTAAAAATAGGAAACAAAAAAACCCAAGTTATTCTCAGTTTGGAGACTCAATTAAATAATTCCCAGTAAAATCAGCATTTTGATAGAATCTCACAAGTTATTTTTCTTTGCTTTTATTTCCTGTTTTCCTTTGATCCATCTTTGTAATTCCAGTGAAAAATGCAAAGTGTAATTTCTCCCATGTTGAGAATAAATTTTTCATCTATGATTTATTGGTAGAGAAGAGTTTGGTAAGGGAGCAATTCAAGGAGAAGATTTTGTCATGCAAATTTCTGATCAATTCCACAGATTCTGGTCAAATGAAAGATATCTTATCCAACATTTAAACATTGAAAAATTTAATTGAACCCACTTACAACTGATGGCGTATTTATCCCAGAAATTAATGTCTGCAAAAAATAAAAATATTTTAATACTACTCTCCATGGCTCTAGGCAAATGAGCTATAAAAAAGGGTCACAATTTTCTGAAATTGGCATGAAAACATTCAAGATAAAAATAATAGACTAAATATTATTCTCTACTATGCAGAATTCTATGAAAAAGCAAGGTAATTTAAAAAGAGTTTTAAAATGAATGTTTAAATCCTTTTCAATTTAACTAAGTGACAAGTAGTAATGATTTACGTTGTTACGATGATAATGTGAATAAGAAATATTTTAGATCATATAATTTTACATTGCTATTAAACCTAACAAAGAAAAGGTAATTGGGATTTAAAAGAATGTTTGAATATATGCACAGAGTCCATTTGTATGTGGACACACACACACACACATATATATACATCTATATACTTATAACTATATATAAAGGCATATATATAATCCTATATTCTTCACTGGTGTGTGTGAATCAGAGAAAACCCTATTTTAGACTTCATCCAAAATTTGTTGGGTTACATTTTGAATCCTGATGAAAAAAGCAAAAATTCAAATTAAATGGACTGATTGCTAAGAGTACATAAAATCATATTCAAAAGCTGGCCAGAAGAATAAAGCTAGAGAAGCTGCTAAATCTAGAACTGAAAACACAATTAGATGCCACAGTTGTCACAAATCAGACTTGTAAGTATAGCAATCTGTATTGTAGGTTCCGCCGATTGCAGGCTTAGCTGAAGTCACATTGAAAAACATTGCATCAAGCTTCATTCACACTGAAGTAAATGAACACTGGTCCTCCAATTCAAATAAGCCGGTATTTAGCATAAGCAAAATCCAGATTTGCATGATTTTTATTATATAGCTAGAGAACTGTGACCACTATGAAAAAGGAAATTCATATAAGGAAATTGCTCTTGGAGAAATTGGTATAAATCAGCTAAGCTAGGAACAAGAGTCTGAATTGGGGACCTGCTGACCTTCCAAGATGTAGAAGGCCATCAGAAGAAAATCACTGTTACTTAGAAAAGAGACAACATGAAAGTACTTCACCTGGTATTATTAATTGGATGTTAATCATGAGTTTGGTTTAATTTCAATAAGCAAGAAAATATAATCAGATGACTGATTTAAAAAAAAGTGCCCATCTAAGTTTTAATATGACATGTCAAATGCAAAGAATAAATTTTGTTTTTCAGTGTCTGTTATTTGCATGTCTTAGCACAAAAAAGGATTTATATTATGGGGCCAAGAGGGAAAAAATGCTTTTTTCTTAAAACAGCATATTTAAAAGACAAGACCTCATCATTTTAATAGTGTACATAGATTAGTGGCTGGAGGAGCCAGGGCTAGCCTTTATAAGTAGTCTAGGCTTTTAGAGCTGAAAGAGATTTTAAAGACTAGCCAGTAAAACTCCTACATCTTGGAGCTGAGGAAAGAGAAGTGAAGTGACTTGCCTATAATTATAAACTAGACTAATGGCAGCACTGTGACTCAAATTCTTGTCTCATGTTTTCTTGTCTAGTACTTTTGCCACTACACTTTTTAGACAGAAAGATAGCTAGAAAAAAATGCCTAACTGATTACTAAGGAGTCTATTCATTGAATCCAAGAGCTCCAAATTGTGTTCGTTCTGCTCAGGATTAGAGAAATCCCCACAATGAAGTGTAGAAATATTTTCATAATTGACGGAACATGTCCCACTGACTGGCTACAGTCTCCCTCCTCTATGTTTGTTGCTATTGCCAAGGCAGGCCATGTTCTGTTATCTCAAATTTCTAGGACTGGTTTAAAGAACATAAAGGTGAGTTTCTTACTTTCTCTTTGTAATTGAGGATGAACAAGTTATTGATAAACCAAGCTCTTGAGTGTTGGAGGTTTCCTGGTGAAACTGGCAGGCCCTGTTGTTAACATACCCCAGAGCTAAAGTGTCCTCATATTCAAACCAACTCTGTTGCCCACGTTAGTGAAATTATCCATCAGCACTAACACTACCCTTTGGGTTCATGCTCATCCCTGTACTACATGTGATCCTTGAGCCCAGATACCCTTCTGGAAAGTGAATGAAATCCCCAAATGTCCCATAAGACTTGGTTGGCATAAAAGATTGAAAAAGATCTTTTTTCTCTACAGTCCATTTATAGGATACTGTTAGAAGTGAAGAATTTTGAAACTAGATACACTGGGCTCTGAAAATGGTTCCTGTGGCTCAGAAATAGTATATTGTTCTGTCGCTTGTATTTGCTGAACTCTGGAGAAACCACCAGAGTAAAATTCCATGTAAATTGCTTAGGCATCGAATCAGAACTGTCCTTGGGCTTTGTAACAGTGCAGAAAATCTCATTTAGTTTTGTTTCTTTTTTTTCAGCTATTTTTTTTTTTCTTTTCAGAACAGGCAAAATTTGTTTTTGGAGTAGAAAAGCTCTTCTTTCTCTGCAGCTATATCTCTTTATGTTCATGCCTTGGAGACTTCAGAAAAATAGAAGCTCACTTCCTTCCATAAAGGTGAAGAACATCTTGATGAATAGTCAGCCACCAAGTTCACATATTTGCCTATGTTGTGAGAGTTGTTTCTAAGAAACCTCAAAGCCACCAAAAGCAGGCAGTTTTATAGCTTTTTGTTACCTAATCTACAAAGTACTAATTTCCTTGTGTTTAGCTTTGTTGTCACTGCTACTGAGCCATTTCTATTACATACGGTACAGTTTTTGCTTCACCCATTTTCCTGAGTTTCCATGATTTTTTCCTGTAGTTTCTCACTCACTTTAAAACCTGTAATCTTCATCTATTTTTAGAAGAAATGTGCAGTTGTACATTCGTGGAGAGTTTGTATGGCATTGTAGTGCTTTATTTGTAAACACTGTATCTTAGAATAAAGCATAAAAATGGCAAAGGGCTATTGGCATATTTCAGTTTATTTTACAACAGGACAAGGATGGATATGTTAACAAAGCCAGAGGGAAAAAAGGGCATGGGATTTTTAATATACTTGATATCCAAGGCAGAAACATATCCGGGATACTATTATAAACAATGACAAGATAAAATGTTGGTCAGCCTTTGGAATTTGCTTTGTCCATATTAACTATCTGGTGCTGACATATGTTTCCTTTTTTGCTATGCCGGACACATTAACAAAGGTGGGTTAGCACATAAGCTGTATAAAAGAAAGAAGTCTTCCTTTTTTCCTCCCTTCCATCCTTATTTCTTACTTTCCTCCTTCCTCAGCTCTTATTTTCTTTCTGCAAAAATCAATACTCTTGCAGTTGAATGTCAAATTGGGATAATTTTTCTTTTAACGAATCAGCTTAGAGTTATCTATCCAACTCTGTAAGAGATCCATATTTGGAAATGATCTCAAAATGGGAGTCATCTTTGGAAATAGTAACTTCTTATATGCTAGGCTTATTAAAAGGCTGTACATCTCATTCGGTTCCCCCAATACTCTGTGAAGTACATAATGTTACTATCACCATCTCATATATAAGGAAATTGAAGCACTAGAGAGATTAAATAGCTTGCTCATTGTCACACAGCTTTTGATGAAATGAGATTGGAACCAAGGCAGTTTGGCCCAGAGTCCATACCTATCTGGGGGAGGCTAAAAGATGTAGCCAATAACCCCCCAAATTTCAGTAGCTTAACAGAATAAGATTTTGTTTCCCTACAAAACATCAATTCTACATAGATGTTCCTCCCCAACCAGCTTGTTTCCAAGGGTGACTCAGAGACAAAGGCACCTTCCATCGTGTGGCTTTGCCTTCCTCCAGGTCCTTTGTGTCCTCTCTATTTGGCCTGCTAAAGAGGAAAGAGCAAGAGAGATCTTGTGTTGGAAGGTTTTATGGGCAACTCTGGAAGTGATGTATATCACTCCACCCACATTCTGTTGGCCAGCCTCACTCATGTGGCCTGGGATGGGCAATGCTGTGTAAATGTGTAGGAAAAGAGTTTGATGAACATGTAGCTGTTTCTGCCATGATATTCTTAGTCATGATGACATACAGCTAAAAAAGAAAACACTGAGTTTTGTGCAACTCTGTGGGTGAGTTGTTTGTTTTGATAATCCTTGTACAAGCACTAGAAGCACTTGAGGAAAAAAAATTTGTATATAGATATAAGTACCCACACTTGAACGAGAATAAACTAAGAAACACTATATTATTCTAGGGTATATTATATCAAGAAGAGAGAATATGGTTTGTTTTGCCCAAGGAAGCAAGAGAGAAACTGATACACTAGAAATTTTTAGGTGACTGAACTCTACCCATAATAGAAGTAAAATGAGTTTTAAGGTCTTAGTGATCTATG